TCAGCCTAGACTTATTTATTATATTTAATAAATATATTATGCATTATAACAAAAACATGTTTAGTGTTTACTTTGTAGTAAGCATTATTTTCAGCCCTTTACAGAAGCCACTAATCAGGGGCGCCTGGGTGGCTCAGTGGGTTAAGCCTCTGCCTTCAGCTCAGGTCATGATCTCAGGGTCCTGGGATCGAGCCCTGCATTGGGCTCTCTGCTCACCAGGAAGCCTGCTTCCTCCTCTCCCTCTCTCTCTCCCTGCCTCTCTGCCTACTTGTGATCTGTCTGTCAAATAAATGAATAATATCTTTAAAAAAAAAAGAAGCCACTAATCAAAGTAAATTAAATAATCTGATGAATTCAAAGTTCTGGTTTGCTCATACATTCCATGGCATTAAAAACAAGAATGGCAGTGGAAGATCAATTGTATTCATTTAATGAATATTTATTGCTTTTTAAAAGCAAGACCAGTCATGAGTTTTTGAGTGTTTAGTTCGTACAAAGCGTCCTAAGTGTTTTGCATGGGCTGTCTTATTTAGTCCTCTCAAACAACTCCAGGAGACGGATGTTGGCATTTTCCCCCACTTTACCTATAAGAAAAATGAACTCAAAGAAGTTGAATGATCTGCCCATGGTTTCAAAGCTAGTGAACGGTTCAACCCAGAATCAAACCCTGGGTTGTCTGAGTCCAGAATTAGAACTTGGAAACACTGTACTGTATCTTCCCTTTTAGTAGAAAACTGACACAGTTCCAGGTGTTAATTAGGCCATGATCGTGTACTTAAAAAAAAAAAAAAAAAAAGTCCTCAGAACTGGTGATTCCAAAGCAAGTTGGGGAAATGGATGCTATGGTGTGGTGCCAGGGAAGGGAGGCAGCTCATTTCTGAGGAGACAAGTAAAAAGGTCGGCATTACCTGGAAGGCTTTAGATAGGACATGAGAAAATGGTGAGAAAAACTTGTCTTTCAGAGAAGGACAAGGTGGGGTAATCAGAGCAGTGTCTCAGGGCTTAACTCTGAGGTACAACCTAATAAACTACAACCTGCTTGAGCTGCCTCCTCCATGTTCCCGTTAATTGGGAAATAAATTAGAAATATATCTCTCCACTTTACAGCCCCATGGTGAAGGCTGAGAGTTTTCTGGAAAGGCATTATTTTGTTTTTTAATTCAAGTTCATGTATTCCTTGACTATTAGTGACCTTAACTGAGACTATCCAGGCAGTCAGATTTTGAGGTTGAAGTATCCTAATGTAGCACAACTTTGAGGACCAGCACCTTATAACCTAATGCACAGGTCCAATCCACCCCCTCACTCTACCCCTCCCCCACTTCAGCCTGAGAAGATCTCCAGCCGTGCTGAGATGATGATGCTCACCTACAGAAAGCTCATCATCTGTATCTACTCCACACACACCGCAAGAGCAATATCCTTACTGTTTTTTTAGGCATAGCTACTTAATCTATTTTCCCAGCCCACTAGCATCTGTGTATCCCCTGCATTTGTAGCCTGTCATGACAATCTGCTTGCCTGGTACTTCTGTTTCCCAAGTCCTTCCCACATACCTATCTCAGTTAATCCCTCAAAACTCTATTCTCACAGTTGAAGAAAACTAGCTTCAAGGGATTAAATCACTTTTCTGGGTCACCTGGGTGGCTCAGTCAGTTAAGCCTCTGACTCTTGGTTTAGGTTCAAGTGATGATCTCAGGCTCTGGGGATTGAGCCCTGCATTGTGCTCCACCCTTAGCCTGGAGTTGGCTTGTCCCTCTCCCTCCCCCTCTGCTCCTTCTCCACTCTTTCTTTCTCTCTCTCAAATAAATAAATAAAATCTGAATGAATTAATGAATGAATGAATGAATCACTTTTCCAAGGTCAAAAATAACAAACAGAACAGCCAGAATTCCAATCTTCTGACTCCAAGTCAAGTATTCTTTCTGGAGACTGTTATTGGACCAACAGCCAGACCAGCAGAAATGCCATCTTCTTCACCACTGTGATGATATTGGCACAGTGCCAGACACACACTAGTGGTCCATAGATATATTTCTGTGAATTTTTTATTAAAAAATAGATAATAGGCACACATCAGTGGCTCAGTCAGTTGAACATCTGCCTTTGGCTCAGGTCATGATCCCAGGGTTCTAGGATCGAGACCCACATCGGGCTGCTTGTTCAGTGGGGAGTCTACTTCTCCTTCTCCTTCTGCCTGCCTTGTCCCCTGCGTGTGCTCTCTCTCAAATAAATAAATAAAAATCTTTATAAAAATATAAATAAATAAATAATAGATAAAGCTTCAGGAATAATCTAACAAATCTTGAATTTCATAGATAACAAAACAGAAACCCACTGAAATCAGTTGAATTATCCAACTTAGAACAAAGTTTCCATAATAAGAGTCCACTGCTCCTGTTATTTATTTATTTATTTATTTATTTATTTATGTGGGCAGCAAAGCAGTTTATTGAGTGATAGTAAGGTGATAGTATAAAGCTCCCAAAGAGGGAGGGGACCCAGAAGGGTTGCCATGCTCCTGTTACTTTTATAATGCTTATTATTATTGACTTGTATTTTTACCTCAGCCAAGTCTGATAGATAATCATAACTATTCTCAATATGATGACTCAATAGAAAAGCAAATACCCTGGTGCTTAGAGACAGGGAGACTCCTGAACATTGTCATGCATAGTGGCCAAAGAAATTTTGCTACTCAGTTATTTTCCAGGTAGTAAAAATAAGAGTTAACAACCCAGAGGAGAACAGAAAATAAGCACCCAGTCTGAAATAATGAGGGTGCTAGGTTCCCCTCGTCCATCAGCTTCACTTTCCTTGAGGGCTGTGAAGTCCTACTTCTCTCCTCCATGCTGTGCACTCTAATGATCAAGGTTTGGGTTTCACCTCTATCATTTAGTAAATATGTGAGTTTATAAAATTTGGTGAACACCTTCACTGATGACCTAGGAAAGAATTCCTTTTCAAAAGATGGTTGTGAGCCTTCAGCAAGAGTTTCCACAAAACCCTGGTACCTGGTACATGCCTTTGAATATTTGCTTTCTTCCCTGGGGCCATTGGATCCATCACTAAAGCCATTACCTGGCCCTTCCTTGACAGAAGTGTTTCAACATTTATTGGGTTTCATTTACAAATCTTAGAAACTTATATGTCCACTAAGCAAAATACTACCATAAACCAAACATACTGAATGTCTAATCAGTGGACAGAGATTAATTGGTCAATTACTAGGTTCTAGTGTATTTTATAGCTTTTATTTCTCAAGAGATTTTAGATTTTAATTTATAATACAGGGTCATTAAACCACATTTGAAAGTTAATTGTTAGTGTATAATCTTAGCAGGCTTACTTTTACCTTCTGCATAATTCATGAAGCTCAGAACATTTTATCTTCCAGTTAAGTGTTTGGTTATATCCCTTGCTTCCATATATCATCATTATCTACTATTGACCATTTTTCCTTTATTTTATATTTCAGAAATTTCACTGGCAATTGGCATATCCTGATTCTCCACCAAAATAAATGTACTCTGTTATTAATAAGAATGTGTTGCATCTAGGTTTTATTATCTATAGCAGTTGAGAACTCTTAAAAATAAGACACACAAATCTCTCCTTCTTTACAAAACAAAACAAAAAAAAACTTTACATGGTCATTTAATATTTAGGTATCACGATGTCAGTGTTCATTCTTTTCTTTTAGCTTAGCCAAGTAGAAATCACCCAAGAGAGAAAAGGGTCACCCTATCTACTGGCCACCTTAATTCTACTCCCTAGGCCCAGAATTCCACTCAGTATAACCAGCTTTGGACTGACTCTCTTCTTCTTGAAACCTGCCTCCCTCCCTCCCCTCTCAAGTCAATCCCTCACCCCACTCAGCCCTCGTCCAGACACAGTTTACCCAGCTGTTAATTTTCAAGTTCCTTGTTGTTCTGAGTGTTATTGCATTTTGGCACATCACATGATGCCTGAATTGCTATTGTCAAAACTCTTCTTTTGCCCTCTTTATATTGACATAGCAAATTTAAGGTGGTATCTTGTAACTGTGGGTATTAAGAAGCATAATCAAATAAAGTTACCTAAAAATGTTTCTGGCATATATAGCAACTGTTATCTACTGTTTTTAGTTCTGGTTTTATCATTAATTCATCTGTAATTAAGCTATTATTATGAGCACAATTCAGTAATTAATCCCTTACTACTATTTCATACCTAGCACAGTTTAATTTTGTATATATTCATATCAGAACTGTAAATTTTTTATAGTGTCATGACTTCTATTTCTCTGTATGCCCCTAAGTAGAAGCAATGAAAATGGTATTAGCAACAGTCTATGATATCATAATGTCATTACAGAAATCCTCTAGGGTTGCACTGTCATATCATTTAATAGATGGAGAAACTGAAGCTTGTGTAGCTTACAGTGATGGAGCCACTGTTCAAATTAGGAATTCATCCACTGTCATTTAAGTAGTAAGTGGCAGAACCAAGATTTACCCCCAGACACCTGGCTCCCAAACCCACAGACCCAGCCAGTATGCTCCTCTTCCTTCTTCATCTCTTGAATGACCACTTTGAAACAACTTGGTAATTGGCAGGTCTTCGGAAAGACGATCATTAGCATGGTAAATGTCAGAGTACCTCTGATTTTTGAGCCTCAAAATTATACCTATTAGGAACCCATTAGAAGATATCTATGAGATAGTTAAACTGTGAGACTTTAGCTTTGATCAAACTATATTCTCATCTCAGAGCATAACCTGATGATCCTCAGTGATCTCAAATGGCTCTAAATGACACACAGATTTGGGGGCCATGATGGTTGTCAAATGATGAGCCATATCTGTTTGTAATCCCACTCAGATAATGTAATCTCAAAACCAGTTCTCTTAGCCACTCTGATAAATGCAACCTAGCCCACATATCATAGTGCCTTCTATAATTAGCACCAATAAAGGCTTCCCATTTTGATCATCATTTCTGATTCTTCTTCCTTGCAGATGGACCCACATGAGAACATCTTACTGAGCACTCTTGAGATAAAAAATGAAATGGCCACATCTGAGGCTGTGATGGGACTTGGAGACCCCAGGAGCACAATGCTGGCCTATGATGCCACCAGCATCCAGTACCGGAAAGCCGGCTTGCCCAGGCATAGTTTTGGCCGAAATGCCCTGGAACGACATGTGGCACAGAAGAAAAGCCGCCTGCGGAGACGCGCCTCCCAACTGAAAATCACCATCCCCGACTTGACTGATGTGAATGCCATAGATCGGTGGTCCCGCATATTCTTCCCAGTGGTTTTTTCCTTCTTCAACATCGTCTATTGGCTTTATTATGTGAACTAAAACATAGCCTCCCATGGGAAGCAAGGACTAGATTCCTCCTCAAACCAGTTGTACAGCCTGACGTAGGACTTGGAAAACACATCAATCCAGGACAAAAGTGATGCTAAAATACCTTAGTTGCTGGCCTATCCTGTGGTCCATTTCATACCATTTGGGTTGCTTCTGCTAAGTAAACACTAGGTCCTTGTGGTTTTCCAGTTGAAATGCAAGTGATTTGTACACATGTTGGCAAGACTGTGTCTGAGTGTTCCACTTTATCTGCTTAGTGTGCAGGCTATATAGAGGGCAATTATTTAGAAGATATTCTTAGAGAGCTCAGTAGCATTTCCAGTCATTTTTCTGAGAAGTGGTCGTACCCAGATACTCCCCATCTTCATTTCTAATGTTGGCATGCTGTTGAGATTGCACTGTGCTTATGAAACATTATTTGCAATGCCATGCAAACATGCTTACTGAAGATGGTCTATGCCTGGTCTTATTAAAGTGATAATGGTGTCATGGGAAGATAATTCCCACTAGATTCCAGAAGGTTCTCACATAGTTCAAACAGGATAGGGAGACTGCAGACAGAGACTCGGTAACCAATTTGGCCAGTTTCTGCTTGAGTGTAGGGAGTCAACACTGATGTCTTCCATTGTGACAGTTAGAAATGGGACTGCTGAACATTATCATGCATGGTGGCCAAGAAATGTTTCTAAAAAGCTATTTCCTCGGTGGTTAAAATAAGAGTTAATAATCCAGAGCAGAGTGGAAACAGAAGTGACTGTTGTAACAAAATTAAAGCAAATGAGCAGCATGACCCTTATCAGCCCCACGCAGCATCTGGTTTATACATATTTTGTACATGGCAAAAGGTCCAGTGAGAGAGACTTTTTCCCCCAACTTCACAAGCTTTTGATAGCAGATCTAAAGAAGTTTTTATAGTTTATCTAATCAAAAGACAACCACAAAATAGAAAAGTTAGCAAAATTAGAAGTATCTTAAATGTAGGTTAGATTGCAAGTCATTCAAATACACTAACATAGAGCACAGACAAAGCTAGCAAACAGGTTGATCCTCTCAGACAATGTCAGCTGTCTCTACAACATTTCCCTGTAAGTTTATTTCTGAATTTAATAGGTATTTCAAAAGAAGGATTTGTTCATTTCTATAAAGTATTAATGGTCCTTTCCAGCTTTTCTTGTTTCTGAAATCCTGATTATATTCTTAGGAGACAGACAAAGTAAGGCTTTGAAGAGATTGATTGAACTACATTTCCTTATGTGCAGTGAAATTCACCTTTGTATTTTTCATAGCAAACAATACTTAAAGGATTATGTACACAAGTAGTTAGTTTGTGGGTTTGTTGGGTTTGACTTTTTAAGGGTACTTACATAGTGTATGTTGCAACTGACCTAATGAAAGAAAATATGAAAAATAGTGTAGCATAGGATAACAACAAAGCCACATTAACATGATGAATATTATGAGCCTCAGTTGATATTATAGAAAAATATGTAACTGATAGGCAGGAATGATGTATTGTTTTTATTCAATTTTTGAATTATGTCAGTGTGATTCTTTCTATACTAATTGGACATATGCATTCATATGTAAGACAGGAAAGAGAATAAGCTAATATATTTTATTTCTATCAATGTGAGGTTCATACTTAGCTTTTCTTGGAGAAAATAGTGAATCGCTAATATCTCCTTAAAGTTTGATTTGATTGAATTTTTTCTTGGAGGATGACTTTGCTATTTCTATTTTAAAAACAAAAAACACTTATTTTTCAAAGTAACATCCCTAATTGTGCATAGTAGCCAAGGCCAGTATTTGCCTGTGGATTAAATGTATGTTTTCTTCCCCCGGATAATTCAGCAGCTTGGAATATGATGGAGTTTTGATGCCCTCCTATTCCAATTTTCAGAGAGAGGGGATAAAAAAGTGTTTAGCATTCAGCTTTCTAAATTTTCTCTAAGATGGGAGGTTTTTTGTTTTTTTTTTTTTTTTGGTTTTTTTTTTTTTTTTCCTTCACCAGCAAAGGGAACTCTGGCCTTTATTTTTTGATTATACACTTGAACACCTCTGAGTATGGTCTTTGGGCAGAATCCAACTAAGTTTCTGCCCATGGGCTCAGAGTAGAAATTCCTCAAGCTTCTCCAGGGACACGATTTCTCCTAGGCAATCATTTTGGGGCATCACTCTAATAAAGGTGCCTGTCCCTTGTTGCCAGGGGTTAAAGTTTGAGTAACATATATTAGGAAGGAGCATATCGATAACTCAGGTGCACAACTCCAAATTCCATTCTGGAAAGGTTTTTCTAGAGACAACTCAGAGCCCAAGTCTAGAAGTGGGCTCTTATCTGCAATTATCATAAAAGCCATAAAAATCCTTGATATTGTCATTTATGGTTACAACAAAATTTCAATGTCCAGGGAAGTCACCACAGTAATCTAGATCAAAGTGAGACAAGAAACTTTGCAACATGAGCCTCAAAAGCATGTGACCAGGGATTCATTTCTGCTCACAGTGACAACAAAACAAAACAAAACAAAACAGAAAAAGGAGAAACATGGGAGCTTAATACAGATGCTCTAGAGCAAAATTCATATATTGGCGTTCAATAACCACATAGGTAGAAACGACTGATTCATCCTGCCCAGAGATATCAGTAGATGTAGAATTTAATTTTAACTATATTTTTATTGTAGTTGAATTGGATTGTAGTCACCAAATTGAGGGCGGGTTGGGGAGGGGTGCTAGATCTCATAAATCTTTGAAGACCAGTCAGCTTGATATCCAGTGGTTAAATTTAAGGACCACAAAAATGTGTTTTGGCAATTCTGATATGGTATTACTATCACTTTATACATATATATATAGTTTTCTTTTGATTATGAAACAGCCAGATAGCCAGCAATTAAGGTGTTTTTCATCTTTGTGAAATTCATAGGCAAATTCTGACTCTAAAATGCACAGTCTAAATGAAACCTTTGATCTCAATCTGTATATATATATTGTACATGACTGCTAGTAGGTATGAAATGCATTTTCAGAATTGAAAACTCATGCAACATAATCATGTGTTTGCATAAGGAATGTTACAATTCTTTCTACTGCAATTTAATAACAGGGGAAAATACTTAAGCAGTGCCATCTAGACCTTTTCTCTTCTCATGTCTTCAAAAGCAGTGCTAAGTAAAAATAATAATAATAATAAAAATGGTTTATAAACCAAAAGACTTTACATTCTAGCATTAGGAACACAAAAATCTGTCAGCTTATAAAAAAGCACAACACATAGAGAAAGTTCAGTGGAATGCAGTGGGAAAATGAATCATGTTCATTTTAAGCAAGACCTGCACTAAATTGTCAACTAACACAATTTCCATGTTCGATAGGTAACTGTGTTCCAGTTTTATGATTAAATTCATCCTCAACAACAAAAACAGCAAAACAATAAATAAAGACAGGTCTTACAACATATCTACATGTATATATGTGTATATATAGATCCATGTAAACATACATACATATATATGCATTCATATGTTGGAAAACAAAAGGAGTAAGCTAATATGTTTTATTTCCTTCATTAAACCAGTGTATGAGTATTTTTAATTGGCAGCCAACAAATCAACATATTGAAACTAGTAATACAGGGTCCTGAGCATTTCTCTATCAGCAGATCAATGCCTACAGTTCTTATGAACCATTGCACAGTTTGACACTACAATAGTACTGTACCTCAGAACATCGGGAATTAACTAGTTCTCACATTGCTTGTCTACTTGCTCTCTTTTTCAAGGAAACAAATAACATTGTCTATTGGTGATTTAAAAACAAAGTCTTAAGAAAACAGAAAATGATTAAAAAAAATTCCTCCTTGAAGGAGGTAAAAAAAAAAAAAATAACTAAACCCCACCATGTTGGTTAGGGCAAATACTCTTAACTGTAGCAATCATGCCATTTTGCTAAGTGTACAGAGTCCATGTAATGTGAGCAACCATAACTTTCACTGAGCGTGTGTAAATATTAAAACAGATTTCTTAAATATTTTTAACTTCTAATTTGTATTTTATGGTAAGGCAACGTGCTAATTCTGTTTATGGCTTAAGTTCATGTGTTATAATATTATGTAAATAATTCAACATGCTGTAAATGACTAGTCAATAGATACAAATAATTGTTTAATTTTTTCTTAATTTTTATTTATTTTTTACTAAGTACAGTTACTGCAGTGCCCCAGCAGAGTAATTTAAACACCCTTTTGCATAAATGGTTTGGGATCCCAGACAGAAGGGTTTCAATTTGTTGTCACACACACAGCCACACACATGTACACGTGCATGCACGTACACACACACACACACACACACACATTCAAACACACATACTCTCACTTTCCGCTCACTTGCTCCCACTTTCATCCCCTTTATGGGAAATGCTGTAGTGTTTATGTATTCAATATATCAACCAAGAGATAGCCTTAGAAATGGAAATGGGAAAAGCAGAAGTGATCATTGATAACTTGGTAGAGTTTTTTATATGTCAGAGTTCAAGAAACCAAAGGTTGTAACTTAAATCTCAATTTTAAAAGAGTAAAAGTTTATATTGATGGCACTACAGGAAATAAAAGTGCTTATTATTCATACCTGTTCCAGAAATTTATTACACATAATACACACAGACTTTTTTTTTAATAATAGCATTTTGTCCTTAGATAGTATTATTCCTTTTAACCAAAGACTCCAGAATTATTAAAAAACAAAAAAGGAAAGAAAAAAGGAAAAATGGGAGAAAATTTAAAAAAAAAAAAAGACTGCTTTACACCAAAGGTTTAAAAAATATTTTCCAAATACTCTAGGAACATTGTAAAAACTAGTAAGGAGCCAACAGAATGTGAATTAAGATACTGCCCTAAAGAAATCATCAAAAAAAAAAAAAAAAGCAGCAACATCCTTAAATAATCTATTAGTTATTTGAAAATTAAAATACATTTCTGTGGATATATGCAAAATTCTGACATCAGATTTTAATTTGCTTTGAAAAGTTCTTTTGTGATAAACATAAATAGATCCAAAATGATGACAAAACTTTGTGTTTTTTAACTTTCAAAACCAACTGTCTTCTCTCCTGTCAAATGTCCCTTAATCTGATGCCCATGTGTGTGTCCTTATACCACCTGAAACAAGTTGAGAGTTCCATCAGCTTGTATCTCTTCCTTTTCGGTTCAGTAATTTGAGTTCAACCATGGTCACTTTAAGCATAATTATTTCAAACAAAGTTGCAAATGATTTAAATTCCATAGCATTTTCAAAATTTTATTTGCATGGGTGTTTAAATAGTTCTGTTATGAAAATTGTCCCTGCACAGTTCTGAATTGTCCTTTTATAAAAAATGATATTCTAGTTTCTTCACAATGTAGTGATTATCAGCCTTACTAATTACCTTGTAGCCTTTCTTAATATGCACATAATGCACATTTTCCAATGGCTAGAAAATGCAAAACACAAGTGAATATCATTGCATCTATTTTCATGTCTTTCTAAAAACAGGACTACTAAAATCTCTGGGATACATGAGATAGTAACAAATGAGGATTATAAATGAGTAGCACATAAGAATTATTTTCTTGAATTTAAACTTATTACAGCCAGTTTCAGCATGTAAATATATAATAATGTTGGCTAGTGTGTAATTCTTGAACTAAGAAATATAAATAAAACTTAAAAGGACGTGTGTGTGTAGTTTCATTGGGTTCAGATACATACATACATACATAATCTATTAGTAATAGTAAGAGCCAGTTTGTAGAATCTCAGCTTTTGCGGAAAGCAACAGAAAGCTTCAGAACTTGGGACTTGCTGTTGGGAAGATTTGAGTTAGAGCTCAAACTTGTCACATATTAGGTATATGACCATGCAGCTACTTAATCCATCTGTAAAGCAATGATACAACTGCACCTCCCTCATAGGGCTGTTGTAAAGATGAAATGTAATAACCCATGAGAAGTCCTTAGCACCCTACAAGATACATGGTAAGTGGT